TGCTCTCGGGTTCGCCCTCATCCGCGTGGCCCACGCGCTGTGCGCGGCGCCCGGGCTGCAGCTGAGCCTGCGTGTGGTCCTGGGAGAGGCCGGCAGGACGGACCTCCGCGCCCGGGAAGCGAGCGTGAGCGCTGCGGGGCTCTGCAGCCCTCCGGCGTCTGGGGGCTGCGCGTGTGTCCCAGCGAGATCCCTTCGCTGGGGATGGCCTTTCTTGTTTAAGAGATCCCGAAACCCTGCCCCTGCCTCTATAGGACTGCTGCAGACCTTAGCGGATCGCGGAGATGCTTGTCTTTTAAGAACTAAATCTTTATTTTCATGTGTTTGCAGTACGCGGTGAGTGATTCTTGGTGGAAAGCTGGTACATGTACCGTCGGCCCCTAAGTTATTTACACATGTCACAGACCAGCGAAGGGCCCAGCAGGAGGCAGGAGACAACAGGCCGCTCGCTTCCCTGCGCCCTGGGGATGAACACAGTGCTGGGACATCAGTCCCCTTGGATGGGGGGCCGAACCTCCTCACCCAGCCCTGCCAGGAAGGTCTTTGCGTCCCACGTGCGCTCGCTCCAGGAGTTGCTTCATTTAACCAGTGTTACCTGTGCGGCTATACTCGCCCTCTTACTGGTTGACCATAGTTTTGTCCCCTCTCACTCCTACCTTGTGATTCACGGCTGGATCAGTGTTATATCTGTAATCTTATTGGTTGGTTAGAGTTTTATCCCATCTTATACTCTCCTTGTGGTAGTACTCTGAAACTCTTGTGAGAAGCGGTTCCCGGGCCACTCACAGGGGACCCCCTTCTGTTCTTAGACAGAAGCTTGCCCTCCCTAAATTACTTCCTATTCTTAATCTCTGTTGTTCCTAGAAATCCTTTTTCAAATTTAGAGAGCTCAAACTCCGCGTTATCAGGCATGTAGCAGTTCAGGAGTTATAGTTCCCTTATATTACCTGGATTGTTTGGCTGTCCCAGATCATCCCTGTATCACATGCCCGTGTCACATCTCAATTTATTTATTTCTGTATTTTAGGGAAGGGTCTACAGAGTGTTCGGGCTCTCACTACTAGATCAGACTTGCAGTAATTCTGTTTACAGCCTCCTGAGTGCTGGGATTACAGGCGTGCACCACCATGCCCAGTCTCAATTGCCATCTCAGCTGGCCTTGGGGGTGGGGCCAGCATGGCAGGCCCAGGGATGGAATCCTGGGCCCCTATGCCTGCTTGCAGGCACTTTAATCTGCTGAGCTATTTGGCTGGCTGCATCTTAATTTGTGTGTGTGTGTGTGTGTG